GGAGAGTCGATGAAAGAGGGGGAGGCCTTCAACGAGATGGATTGATACAGTGGCTGCGATGATGGGCTCAAGTATAGCAGGGATTGTGGGGCTGGCGCAGGATCGGGCAGTGTTTCGTTCTGCTGTGCATGGGGTCGCTATGAGTCGGAAACGACTCGACGGCAACAACAACATATATATAAAGAGAGAGAGAATGTATACTGTATAGACACACACAATGTATATATAGTATGATCCTATAAACCAATTGCTGTTGAGTTTATTCCAGCTCAGGTGCCCTCATACGTGTCAGTGGAACTGTGCTGCACAGGATCGTCAGTGCCTGACTGTTCAGAGTAGGTGGCCAGGCCTTTCTTCCGTGTGCTTCTGGATGGGCTTGAGCTGCCGACTCTTTGGTTAACAGCTAAGTACTTAACTTGGTTGTGCCACACAGGGACTCCAAATTACTATATGTCAGGATAGTATGATGTATATTATAAAATATAGTTACCAAATACTATTTTGTGAAAAATGAAAAGAATTACAGCTATGTGTAGAACAGAAATGAAATACTGAGCCAAGAAAGTAGATGGCGTAAGAGTACATACACCATCTTGCCATTTACTTGTAAAGTTTTCAAAAATGTACAAAATAAGTGCATGATGAAATGCATAAGAAAGATAAGCCCTGATTAGGAGGAGAAGGTAATCAGGGAAGGGGCTCTCACTGTATCCACAATACTCCTTGAGCCGGGTGAGTATTTCATGGTGAATTTCTTTTAGAAAGTTGACAAGCATCTAAGGTAACAGCTTTAATGATTTTTACCCCTCTTGTGCAAACAAAGTTCTTCATTAGATATAATCTTTTTTTCCTCTTCCTCTCTGGTTTTAAAATGTATTTCCTTTTTATCCTCTGCAGATAATAGAGGTTTTTATCTTTGGTCATATTACTTCTCTGTTTTGCTCATAAAGTAAACATCCAAGTCCTTCCTAATATGTTGTCTGAGCAGGTTCCTGAAAATGTCCTTTCTCCTCCCTTGCAGGTGTTCACAACACTGTCGGTGACCAAACGCTCCGGGGGAAGCATCCTCCAGGCTGGCTGCTGAGGTTAAGCCCCGGTGTGGGTGCTGCTGCCGAGTCGCCACCACTGATTGGTTCCTCGCCCAAATCCAGGGCAGCGCTTTCAGGAAGGTCCTCGGGCTCTTGGCACCTGTGTGCCGTGGGCTAACACCCACCGAGGCCCCCTTGGATCTCCTGGGTGGGAGGTGGTGAGCACAAGGCAGTAAGCATCTCACTGGGGTCACGGTAACAGACTTGAAGCTGATCTCGGCAGTGCATTGAGCTGCATCCATGAAGTCACTGGCCTCAAGCCTATGCGGGGGGGGCAGTGATTGAACAACTGTCGAATCAGTTTTAGCTTGATGTTTCCTTTGTGAGTTTTCTCTGTTCTCACTGTCAAGCTTTCTAATGTTGATGATATTCCATGGTGTTAATGATACTTGAGACGGAAAATGTAAGCGATTGATTTTTGTCCAAAAGCAAGTCAAGGCTAGAGCATCCAATGGAGTGTCTTATTGCATGGAAGGCGTGCTTTGCCTCCCTTGGAGGCTCCAATAGGCTTCTCCCCTGAAATGTCTCTGTCCTCCTGTGTGCTTCCAACGAGTACAATGCACTGTTTACTTTACTGACCTGCTTACTGTGTCTCTCTTAATAAGTTAGAAGTTGTATGTCCAACAGATAAGTCTATGAATGACTTTGGCCAGATTGGCCTGCATGGGCCCCATCACTGGTTGTTACTGTTTTAAGCTCTGTTCAGGAAGGGAAGTGCCTGTTTGACCCTCCCCATTTGAAGTAATACTGACTGCACAGGTAGAGTGTCACAGAACACGTCACTTGGTCATACAGTGGGATTTCTGCCATTACTCAGCATGGAGGCAGATGTGTATTTAGTCTGTTGTGTGTTAGTCTGAGTGAGCTGAGGTCTTCTACAATGGGAAACACTTTTCTTGTTTAAACCTCTTTTTTTGGTAGCTTTGGCTTTAAGCAAAAAGTACAAAATACCACGTCTTTCTTTTTCATGCATGTTATGTATCTATCTGTCCCTTCCTATTCATAGGAAAATAGGTCTTCCCACACTTAAAACTGAATCTTTTGTGGTAATTGCTTTTTAAAGGAAGCTATTAATATCATAAGTTATTATTATTATTATTGAACACAAGGTGGATGTGAAGGATTTTCATTTAAAAACCAAATGGTTTTGACTTTGGTGAAAGAACAACTGTACCTGGTGGAATTTGGTAGGCATGTTTATACTGTTAGCATTCCAGCTTGTATTATTGCAAAAGGATGTTAACTGCTTGGTTCTGTCTTTCTGTTTAAATGTGCCAGCTGAGGTTTACCTCTGGGCGTTTCTTCTCACTTTGTTAGTTGAGTTTTGAAAGTGCTGTGTTCATCCGTCCTCCCACCAGCTCAGTTGTTCATTCTCTCCCCACTGCAGCACTGAGTGGTTGTTTCAAAGCACATTTCTGGGCCACCTCGGGGAATGCCTGCATCTGCCTGACACTGGTCAGCAGAGCGCCTGCCCCTGTCCCACAGGGCCCTGGCTCACCTCTCATCCCATCTGGTTATACGAAGAACATGGGAAAGGAAACGGGGGGTTTGAGGGAGTTGACTGTGATAAGTTGTGGAATTATTATTTGTAATTGTTTTTTCCCCAGTCTGCCAATCTCTGGAGTTAGAACAGTAGGCAGTAGGAGATGATCATGCCTAATCATGTTGTGATTCTCTCTTCTTGGTGAATGGAATGTTCTGCCCCCACAAAAAGATTGTTCTTTACAGACGTCTTCTGTTTAGATTCTGTAACTGCCCAGTGTACTGAAACCTGTACTAAATGCTATGTATTTTTGTTACAAATCTTCCAGAAAAAACAATGTGAAACATTAAAAAGTATTAATATCAGTCTTGCATCTCTTCTTACTGAATGACACCTTGAGGTTCTTTGAGTGAATGTTGAATAGACTTCAGGAAACGTTTTGTGTGGAAGATAAAAAGAACCAGCTGCTTGAGTAAGCATCAGGATGCTGTTAGGCCAGGTCAGTGTTTGCTAAGTTTACATTTTAGAGGCATGGGCTCTTCCAGTTCAGTTTTTCAGCTTGTCCTGATTTGACCTGTCGGCCTTGGTTTTTAGGGTGGCAGTAACACCCCACTGCACCAGACACCATCCACTCTGGGAGTCCCGGGACGTGTATATCCATTACTGCATCTCTCTGCTATTTCCCCATGCAGGACTGTTGGAGTTTGTGAAGCCTTCCTTACTCTGTGGACTGAGCAGTCACAGTATAAATGGGTTCACGGTCATTCCCAGTTCCCCAGCCCCTGGCAGTACCAAGCTCATAGTAGGTGTTCAAGAAATAGTCACATAAATGTTGACTGCCATGCTTGGACTATTGATTCACGTGCATTTAGCTTTCTTTTGCATCAGGCGTTGAGCAGAGACTCCTCCTCTGTGTCAGCCCTTATCCAAGATCTTTCTCCTTAGTGACAATGAATGAGCACAATAAAGCTGGCACTGGAGTGTTTGCTCGAGCGTGTGTCAGGCACTGTGCTCTACACACGTGGCTGACTTAATTCTCATGGCAGCCCTGTGAGGAAGGTGCTCCTGCTATTTATAGAGAAACAGGCTTGGGTGAGTCACTTGCTCAGGGTTACACAGCTAGTGATGCAGCAAGTTTTTGAAACCCAGAGTGAAGTCTGTGACTTAAAAGGCCTAGCCTCTTAGCCACCTTGCCAGCTACCTTCCATTCATCTTTGACAAATGAATGGGGCTGCTGAGTCAGTTCTTGGGACTCCTCACTGTTTACATGTCATTGAGCCATGCTGTCTGCATGGCTAATAAAGACCTTAATGCTTTTTCTAACAGGTCTTTCCAGTACCAGTTCACTTCCACTCTAGCCAGGGCATTATTGCTCAGACTTCCCTAGCACCCAACAGTTAGGGTCTTCCCAAGGCCCATAATCCCCTGCCATCCACAGCCCACTGCTGCTCTCACTTGTCCCTTCAGGAACACCTCTATCCCCAGCTCTGCTCCACTCTTTGCCTCCTTAAAGGTTACCCTCTCTGGCTTGCCTCTGGGTTCTTTACTCCCCTGACCCGCTGCATTTTCTTTAGAGCGAGACAGAATTGCTCTGTGGAGATGTTTTTGCATCTTTCTCCATCACTGGATAATGAAGGTGTGTCACCTCACTGTGCCCCCCAGCTTCCAGCAGAAGGCCAGGGACAGTGGAGGCACTTAAAAGATTCATGTAGTTGGGTTGGCAAGTGGAGCCGTGGGACCTATCAGAGGGGACCACGTAGAGACCTGCTAGTTAACCTCTCTCTCTTGTATCAGGAGCCTTGATGCAAATGTAAATGGAAGGGCAGCTTCTTACTGGAGAGGAGAATCTAATGGTCAGTAATAGCATTCAGAACAGTACAAAGATGGAAATGACCTAAGGTCCCTCAGTGGGTAAGCAGAATGTACATGCACACAGTGGGGTGCTGCACAGCTAGTGTGAGTTTCTGAAACCACGGATGAACATGGAGGACATGATGAGGGAAATAATTAAGTCAATCAGAAAAAGAGAAATAGTGCATGATCTCTCTTTTATATAAAGACAAAAATAGGTACACATACACTAATGTTCTTTGGTGGTTACCAGGGATGAGAGGGGAAGGGAGGAAGAATTACTCTTCAGATAGTACATATTCATTACTTTTGGTGATGGGAAAGGTAACACCAAAGATGGGTGAAGTGTGTATACAACTCGACCAAAGTGTAAATGGTATCACTAAGGAGTACAAAAGAATAAGATTTTTTTTTTGTAAATTCCATAAATATATACAATTTTGCAACAACCAAAAATGTGTAGTTACATATGTAGGTCTGTATCTGTATTATATGTATATATATATGTTGTTGTTGTTCTTGTTATTTGCCATCGAGTCGGCCCCGACTCATAGCGACCCCTCCTTGGGTTTCCAAGGCAGTATCACTACGGAAGTAGGAATGCCCAACCTTCCTTCTG